GGCCATATATGTAAATGATATGTATGAGTGAAAGTTGAGATTATGTACTTGAGACTTCACTGCATATCTGCATATTATAGAGCCATGTTCAACTTCAAATTTCAAGGGGGCTGCAGGCCTAGGGCATCTCCAAGTTTTATTGAAACGAAACCTTGGAAAGTTTTAGACCTATTATTAAAGTGCCATTTAAAGCACAAAACTTGATTATTTCTCTGACGGTTGATTTTTTTTTAGCAATTTTCAAAGGAAAAGAGGTGTTTTCATTGTAACTTCTGGTCTTATGACGTAATCAATTTTTTTCGCGCACAGGTCTTGTCTGCATTAAAGTAATCATATATTGAATTTTGCCACAGACATCAACTAAAACTGCGTTTTGGACATTTTTAACCTGCCGCCAGAAGGCGCTCGAAAACTTCATGGCGTCACCGATCATTTTTTTTAAAGGTCAACCCACCCACAGACTAACATCGTTGAAAGCAAGTTCATATCTTTTTCCACTTTCAAATTATTAAGCACTTCCGGTTTCGACCGAAAGGAAGGGTCACGTGATTTGACGCACACAAGATGAAATGAAGATCATATATTATCATGTTGATTCCCGCAAAATTCAAGTTCGGTCTCTCACGGTTGATTTTATATTGAATTTCAATGATTAAATTTATTATTTTTTTGAAGTGACGTCACGTGACCCATGATGACGTCATGATGACGTAATTGCAAAAAGCACATCTTCAATGGGTTTTGCATTGATGTATTGACAATTGAAGTTCATATATGTTTTCATGTTGACAAACAGTTCTGGAGAAAAATTTGTCTTTGAGAATAAAAATACTAATAATAGTAAATTCTTACAATAACAATAGGTGTTGGGCTCAAGGCCCAACACCTAATTATAACTCAAAACTTACATTTTCAACCTAAAGCAGTCTTCTCTCGATTCTAATGGCACCTTTTTACCCCTCAGCCGAGAGGCTGGAGGGGTTTGTCATCACCTATGGCATCCATCCGTCCGTCTGTCAGTCCGGACGGACATCCAAGCAGATTAGTTTCCAGAAAATGACTTGACTTTGAAATGTTGTTTGGGATTGTAACTTAGGTAGGGAATTGCCCTTGGGTACAGGCAAGTTGGGATAGGTTTTGGGGTCAGTTCAGCTATTTCCCCACAGCTTTTGTACACGTTTTCATCATGAAAGGCCCTTATACTTGCCATACACTTAGACCAGCACCTGCAGATGTGTGCCGATTATTGACGTCATCATGACGTCATAACGAGTCACGGGACATCACACTATAGGTGCGTCTTTTGAAGGCCTATATCTCCAGAACTACAGGTCCCATTGGGTTGAAAGTTGGTAAGTACCTAGACCGGGATGTGTTACATGTACACGTATAAACGAAAAAAGAATTGACGTCACAATGACATAATCGTGGGTCATGTTCTGCACGTGAAAGTTTAATAAATTTAATCATTGAAATCTCTATAAAATCAACCGTGAGAGACCTGAACTGGAGGTTTGCGGGAATTGATAGAATAATCCAGGATCTCCAGTTTATCTCGTACATGCCAAATCATGTGACCCTTCCTTCCAGTCGAAACCGGAAGTGCCTTATAACTTGAAAGTGGAAAATGATGTGAACTTGTTTTCAACAATGTTAGTCTCTGTGTGTACAGCTAAAGGGAAAATTCCCACCACTGACATTGCGGGTGACATGGTTTTCCAGGCATTCATTAAAATAATATAACACATAACTTTAACGGGAGCAATTTCCGTGCTCTGCTCATACAATCATTATGAATGTCATGTGTTCTTCTTTTTCAATTCTCTTGGATCCTATTATTGCAACTTCAACAAACAATATAAACGTGAAATCTTATGTTTTGGGGGTTGTAGTGACATGTTATTAGTCAAGCTTTCCTATCCTCTGTGGTGATAGACGTGTATGAAAGTCTGTTTTAATCCCCAAGGCTTTGTACCCGGCCACGTTGTTTTGGACTTTACCTTTAACATGGAAATGATTATGATGTCATAGTGACGTAATCATGTGATTTTTAATCAAATTTTTTTTACATTTCTTTTTTTTTGACACTCGCATTCTAACTTGTTTACGTGTCCGGTACACAGACCAATGCTGGGCAATGTGTAGCCAATCATGTCTCTACGACAGTCACGTACGTTTATGCTCCACACTGTGATATTGCTCACACGGGAATTTCCTTAAATTGTGCTAGTCTGCTAACAAGCTACATGCATGTTGCACTGTTGCTGAATATGGGGGGCCTTATCATAAATTTGACGCCTCATGGGTTCCATGCCTCATAAGTCTAAAACTTTGGACTGATGAGGCGTTGGAATTATGAGGCAAGTCGGAGCTATAAGGCGTCGGAATGCGGCATTGGACCTAGGGCAATTCCACACCAAAGTGGACATGACACCAAAAAATTCAAATACATGTGACTTAAACAAATTTGGCATCAAATGAAAGCTAAAAGTCTATATTTTCAAGATTTGAAGTCGGAATTTTATTTTTTATACAATTCGGTACCAAAAAATAGGATTATGTAATAATCCTGTTTTAATCCTAAAAATGTGATTAATAGTGATATGAAAGTATTCTACCAATAGACACACAAAAATATGTACTAATGCCATCACTTTCTGTCATGAAAAAGTATTGGTCTTGAAAAACCGACTAAAACTTGTTTTTAACATTTTGCGTAATTTGTTTCGCTTCAGTGACTTCTAATATTTCAGCCTTCGAAAATGTCCTTCCGTTACCGAAAAAATACATATTTTTAAATTATTTTTAAAACTTGCAGTATGAATGCAATGAAACTTACTGTGCAAAGCAAGTTTAGGTAGGCCTTCAATATGACATTATAACTGACACTGTTGTACTTCTCGTTTTTTAATTACAATTAATTAAATCACGTCCTTCCGTTACCAAATTGGTAACGGAAGGACGGTAACGGAAGGACAAATCGTATTTTTATCAAATGTTACGACATTTGCGCTCATGTTTGAAAAATGAAAATCACTGCAAATACATGCATGTATAATGAGCATTGAAAGGACATTCATGTGACCCACCTTCACAAAAGCGGGATAAGCAGGGCAAGGTGTTTATTACAAAGGAAGTCACAGGCATGTACAACATGTACAATGTACATGTACATATATGCCGATGTACCAGTACTTGTACATGTATGGAGTTGTTGCAGAAAATCAAATCATAAAGTTGCTGCCATCAGCATTCATGGACAACAGAGAAATATACGAATTCTGTGAAGCCATTCCAGAAGCAAATTAAGTCAAAAATGAGACGGCAGAAAGTACCGGTACTTTGGGGCACTTTCATTCAATTTACATGTGTAAGACATGTGAGGTGCAATCTTTGACAAATTATGCCCAAGTTAACAATTTCAGTTTGGATGTTTATAAATTAATTGTTACTACTCTAAATCATTGTAATTTGATTTCAAACATTGATTTTAGAGTTCAATTAAAAGCAACACCTAACTGAAGCCATCAGTTCTACCGGTAGATGTTTTTACCTTAAATGTACATGTAGGCTGGTCCCCCCCCCCACCCTTTAGGTAAACCTTTGAACCTACCGGTATTATTATTAAAAGTTGTTGGTGAACATGTAACCAATATACTCAAAGAGTTCAAATACTGTGTATTTAAACTTTTAAGGATTGAGGTGATGGGTTTGAAGTCTATTTCTGTAGTAGTCCTGTGTTCGTGAATTATGTGTTTTGGGTTGTTTTCGTTTTTCTTTTGTTATCATTAATTAGCAGGCTTCTATCTTTATCTCAACAGTTTTTTGGGTATAATTATTTATGCCAGGTCTGCATATTGTTGATTTCACATTCAGTTACACATTTCAGCAATTTGTTTCACTTGTATAATTAGTGTAAATTAATATTTTGTTCATGCTATAATTGAGTAAACCTTTTGTCCTTCCGTTACCGTCCTTCCGTTACCAAATTATAATCTGCTTAAAAAATTGTAATTATATTACTGAAACACTAAAGGTGGTATAGTATAGATAAAGCTTCAGGGATTCCATTTCCTACCTTTAAAATATAATTGCCCCATAAAATTCACAGAGTTTACGCAAAACGCGAGTAAGTTGGAAAACCCTTGTCCGTTTTACCGTCCTTCCGTTACCGACCTCATTAATATTCATAATTCATAAACGGGAGGCATTCATGCCCCCCAAAAGTGTGGAAAATGAAAGTAGCATTATAGCAATACAATTGTGACATTTGTTTGCTGTAACTATGAACACTGTCTGTGATACACACATTTGAAATTTTGTTCAATGAGTGCAAACGTCCTTCCGTTACCGTGGAATTGCCCCCTATGAGGCGGAATAAATACATTTTTTTTTTTATGTCTCATGAGTCCGACGCCTCATAGGTCCGATGCCTCATAAGTCAGAAATTTCGGACTTATGAGGCGTATGAGGCGTTAAACTTAATATGAGCGGACCCCAAATATGCGCTCCCTTTTCGATAGGATAACACATGTTTGTGCTCTACAAGTTTCAGGCCAAATCATGATGTCATGATGACACTATCGCATGTCATGTGACACATCAGGTAGAGTGGGAAAAGTGCAAGCACTATAAGTTGCCTAACAGTAACCCCCACGTGCCTGAAGTGTCCATGACAAACACAAAAACCATCAAGATACAACAATCAAGATAAAGATCGAGGGAAAAACACACATGTGATCAACTAAAACTGGACAATAATAAGGGAGTGAAATTGCAAAGAATGTACCCAAAAATGCATCTGGGCTACCACAAGCCCACTGACTAATCAAAGATTATCCTTGTAACTAAATGTTAACAGTCACTTGTGTTAACTTTGTACAAAGTTACGATTTGGTTGTCACCCTCAACTTTGTATTGGATATATTCAAATCAGAAAATATTATTCAAGTTTGTTCTGCTGACCTTTATCCATGGTATATTTTTATACATTTATACAGTACCAATTGGAGGCACATGTGCATGGCCAGAAGCCGATCATACATTGAGACAGCCCATATGGAGACATCCAATGTAAGGAAGGATCAGTTTCACCGGAAAGATGCAAAGCAGCAACTCACTCTGCCAAGATCTGCTGCTGAGAAACAAAAAATTCGAATTGAGAAACTGATGAAAAATCCAGTAAGTTCAATGTTAAATTCAAAACCAACCGTTTTTTTAGCATTTGCATAATATTGTCCCCTGGAAACACAATGTTAAATTGTGTGGTAGTATTTACACCCCCCCCCCCCCAATAATATGTAAAGACTGCCCTTTCCTGTTAAAATGCCCCTTTTTTTCACCAGCGCTTAGCCCCCAATATTTGTAGATAATGTCTTTGTACGATTAACAAGTCCCCTTTTTTCTGAAAAAGTGCCCTTCAAACAAAAACTTGTGCCCTTTTTGGTGCCGTTGGCCATTATGGTTCCCTTTTTCTTTAATTTCGCGCATGTATCACCCATAAAAGCACCAATATTGTCCATTAGTGTGCATAAGCGTCGGTTTTTGAACAGCGCTCCCATCTACAGATGGCAGTGTTGTAGGACTCGAGTCCAGGATTCGGACTCGAGTTGGACTCAAGTCACATTTTTCGTGACTCGGCCTCAACTTGAGTGACATTGGAAATTGACTTGGACTCGGACTCGACCATGATGACTCGGACTCAGTCATGTATTTTCATCAAAAGAACGTACATAATGTAGGGATGGGAAGGGATCATTGGAATTATGTTTGGATGATAAAACATGGAGGGAAGGGATGGAGGAGTTTTTTGGGTGGATGGAAATTAAAAGGAAAACACATTTTGGGTCTAAATAACATGTACACACACAAGGTAAACCATTTACACTAGGATTTGCTTAAAAGACAGAATGGATGATTGAAAAATAATTTTAATTAATTTTAAACAATCCGGAGTAAAAAACGGGTCTACATTTGAGCACAGACATGCATGTGCCTTTTCCAAGGAATCCCCCCCCCCCAATTAAAATGATCTCGCTACCCTACTGTCTACTCAAGCATATCAAAGAGGAATGTTGGACCTGTCCTCACCGAGGGCACTTAATGCAAGGGGTCTATCAAAGTCAATTATGTAAATACAGCAGTACGCTGCTATAACAAAGCCTATTATACATGTATTAGTAAATGGGCGTTGGCAGGATTTTCTTAGATGGGGGCAAAGCACATTATTTCCAAGAATCCTTGTACATTCTCTATCATATTCTCATTTTATCATATACCGGTATTCAAGGTTGAGGTATGGGGGGGGGGGGACATTTGCCCAGCCCAGCCCAGCCCAGCCTGACACTGTGGACACCCATATTGTGATATGTGCATTAAATTTAACAGCAATATGACTTCACACCTCATCCTCTTCCTTTTTTCCTTCTTTTTATTTCTCCTCATGATTTGGTTGCTTTTCTGCTTAAAAGCAGAGAAGCTTGCTTTGTTCTGATATTTAGCTGTTCCCAATTTCAATTGGGAACAGCTATTGTTTTCGTTAAAGTTTTTTTTTTTCCTTTTTTTTTTTTTTTTTTTTTTTTGGCTTTTCCGCAAAGTTGCGGAAAAGCCTTTGTTTTTGTTCTCATTTTTTTTTTTTTTTTTTTTGGCTTTTCCGCATAGTGCGGAAAAGCCTTTGTTTTTGTTCTCATTTTTTTTTTTTTTCCTTCTTCTTTTTGTCGCCAAAACCCCATAGACTTTGTGCACGTTTTTTCTCAGTGCCACTTTTGGCATTAATCTTTGTCATACATCATTCAAAGTTTGCATAAGCATAGTCCCTATAGCAAAGATGTGTCCCGAAGATTGACGTAATGGTGACGTCATCGACTAATTTATTATAGATTTTTTGATATTAAATTTTTCCCATAGACTTTGTACACAAAAATTAAGAAAAAACTGTTGATTTTCAAAAGGCATTTTTCAACCCATTGCCAGTAATTCATTTACACCACTCTTTGTCCAAGCAAAGACCCTAATTCAAACAACATTGTGGAGTGATGACGTCATGATGACGTCATCCTGTGTTGATTTATAGGCAATTAAATTGTGGCACTTTTAATAGTTAAAAATGCATAAGAAATCAACCGTACGCGTCCGCAGCATTCTGTTGCCGGCAAGTGGTAGAGTAGGTTGAGGTCTTTATTTCATTCAGTGTGCGTGAAATCACGTGACCCTTGCTTCCGGTCGAAAAAGGCCAAAACCGGAAGTGGCTTATCATTTGAAAGTGGTAATAGATATGAACTTGCTTTTAACGGTGTTAGTCTCTTGGCTTAGAGTATTCTTCAAATCATCTACCGATGACGTCATGCAATCTTCGAGCGCCCTCTAGCGACAGGTTGAAAATTTTCAAAAATGTGTTTTGAATAGATGTCTGTGGCAAAGTTTGTCGGAATCGCCTAAATATTGGTGTTTATGATGACCTTGACCCCCTTTAGACGTGTGAGAAGTTGTAGGCGTATGATGTCATCAGACCGGAAGTTATAATGAAAAGACCCTTTTTCCTTTGAAAATTCCTGAAAAATCAACCATGGCAGTTTTTATAGTTGTTTTTACTTTAATTGTCGATTTAAGGGTAAGTCTAAAACATTTCAAAGCTTCGAGGCAATAAGCGAACTCGAACATGGCCTGCGCACGCTTAAAACTTCAGGTTGACAATATACCTCTGCTTTAAAACATGCACAGGACGACCACAATGTACGTGTACATGCACGTACGTTGTACATACGCACATACATCGTATGTCAGTCAGCCCGCAGGGCACGTGTTGCTGAGGTCAAATCCTGACCACAGTGACCGTTTTAGCCGATTTTCGGCTAACTTTGACAGACTTTATGTTCATGCATAGTCAGAGACGTATTATTGAAAAAAAAAAATCATAATGCGGAAAAGCCCTATGTTCTGTTGCAAACAGACATAGATCTCTAGTTTTTTTTTGGCTTCTTCTTTTTGTCGCCTAAATCCCATAGACTTTGTGCACGTTTTTTCTCATCGCCACTTTTGGCATTAATCTTTGTCATACATCATTCAAAGTTAGCATAAGCATAGTCCCTATAGCAAAGATGTGTCCCGAAGATTGACGTCATGGTGACGTCATCGACTAATTTATTATAGATTTTTGAATATTTAATTTTTCCCATAGACTTTGTACACAGAAATTAAAAAAAATTGTCTATTTGCAAAGGGCAGTTTTGACTCTTTGCCAGTAATTCATTTACACCAGTCTTTGTCTAAGCAAAGACCCTAATTTAAACAACATTGTGTAATGATGACGTCATGATGACGTCATCAGGTGTGTGTTTATAGGCAATTAAATTGTGACACTTTTAATATTAAAAAATGCATAAGAAATCAACCGTACGCGTCCGCAGCATTTTGTTGCCGGCAAGTGGTAGAATAGGTTGAGGTCTTTATTTCATTCAGTGTGCGTGAAATCACGTGACCCTTGCTTCCGGTCGAAAAAGGCCAAAACCGGAAGTGGCTTATTATTTAAAAATGGTAATAGATATGAACTTGCTTTTAACGGTGTTAGTCTCTTGGCCGATAGTATTCTTCAAATCATCTACCGATGACGTCATGCAATCTTCGAGCGCCCTCTAGCGACAGGTTGAAAATTAGCAAAAATGTATTTTGAATAGATGTCTGTGGCGAAGTTTGTCGGAATCACCTAAATATTGGTGTATATGATGACCTTGACCCACTTAAGACGTGTGCGAAGTTTTAGGCGAATGACGGCATCAGACCGGAAGTTATAATAAAAAGACCCTTTTTCATTTGAAAATTCCTGAAAAATCAACCATGGCAGTTTTTATGTTTGTTTTTACTTTAATTGTCGATTGAAGGGTAGGTCTAAAACATTTTAAAGTTTCGAGGCGATAAGCGAACTCGAACATACCCTACGCACGCTTAAAACTTCACGTTGACAATACCTCTGCTTCAAAACATGCACAGGACAGGACGTCCACAATGTACATGTACATGCATTGCACGTACGTTGTACATAGGCACATAATCGTATGTCAGTCAGCCTACAGCGCACGTGTTGCTGAGGTCAAATCCTGTCCACATTGACCGTTTTAACTTTGACAGATTTTATGTTCATGCATGCGCATAGACAGGGACGTATTATAGCACTTTTGGCATTAATCTTTGTCAGATATCATTGAAAGTTGGCATAAGCATAGTCCCTATAGCCAAGATATGTCCCGAAGAGTGACGTCATGGTGACGTCATCAAGTGATTTATTATGGATTTATGAATAATTAATTTTTGTCATAGACTTTGTACACAGCTTTCTCCACAAGTCTTTCCCTATACAATTACACTGATATATCTTACTGAGTAGTTCTGAACTTCGGCTGAGAATTACTATGAGAAGGAAAAAGAAATCGTATTTCTTTACGCCTGTCATTTGATTGAAAATATTCCCAAGAGTTAGAATAGCAAGTAATATTTTATAAAAATGTTTCAGTTTAAAGGAAAATCACGCATTTGAAGGTGCAGTTTTTCTGCTGTGGGATTTTTAACCCATTGACTTTGTACACGTTTTCAAGCCACCATTTTCATAACTTGGCGATCTAAAATCGTCATCAAAGTTACAGCCAAGGAAGACCCTCATACAAAAATTATGCCAAGACTATGACGTCACGATGACGTCATCACCTAATGTTTTTATTGATTTTTGAAAATTTACGTACATATTGTGAAGTCATATCTACAGAAATGTAAGTCTGATTGGGTTGAAACTTGGTATGTGGTTGTACCAGGATGTGTTATAGATTAAAAATGAGGTGACGTCATGATGACGTCATCCTGAGATTTTATATGAATATTTATTTGTTTGGACCTTTTAGCCATATCTCCCGAACGCAACATGCAAAATGCAAAATTCTTTTTTGCATTTGGTCTGTTATGTAATAGCTTTTCGCACAAAACTGGAAAAATGTGTGACGTCATCATGACGTCATCAAAATGCGATTTTTCAAAACTCATATAAGGAAAGGTCCAATTGCCATGAAACTTGGTGGGTAGGTAGTTAATCATACTAGTATGCAAAGTTCGAAGTGACGTCAGGATGACGTCATCAAAAACTTTAAAAAATATTAGTGGATTTTCAAAGTGCGTTTTGGACTCTTTTGCCAGTAATT